GTCCTTAATGCTTCCAGCCACAGCAGCCCCTCTCCAGGCTCCAGGGAAAGGCCAGGGTGTTCACAGAGACACCACACGGGCCCCCAGCAGCTGAGCAAGTTCCCATCTCGTCTCCGTGTTCCGTGAGAAGACAAACATCGCCTTGGTCATCCCAGCGGTGACCAGGCCTCCTGCCACTCGCAGCCGAAGGCCATCCTTCCACAGAGAACGAGGGCCCTCCCGGCCAGTCCCCTTCTCTCGGGAATGGGGGGACCTTATGAGGCCTCTCAGGACTTTGTCAAGCCCCCTGCCTCTCTGGCCAGAGGGACGGGTGGGGTATGTACCAGGAGGCCCCAGAATCTTTTGCTTTCTTTGACCATCGCCTTTTGAAAGTTACAGCATGAGTTTGCGCCCCTCCCCATTTTTTTCTTATTTGTTGTAAAAGTTGTTCATTTTTTTTGCTCATGTCAGCGGGCATTAGAGGAGGGAAATCTTGTTTCTTTCCACTTATTTCTCTGTATTTCCCTGGGTAACTTCTCACACCTGTTGATTGATCGGCTGCAGCAGCCACTGCTCTGGAGTCACTTCTGACCTGAGAAATGACAAGGCAGGAACTTTCCCTCTGTGTTTTGCCCACAAGGACCCTCATCCTGAAGAAAAGCACCCAGAGATCAAGCCCCCAGTGGCAGAGGCCGTAAGAAGTGGGACCTCCTGCAAACGTGAGGGATGCTGGCGCTGTTCTCGAGGCTCACCTGCACTCTGGCACCTGGTCTACCTCATCCTGGAAACCCCGCCCAAGTATGATTCACTCACCACGGCACTGTGGGCCTGGAAGGCGGGGGAAACCCCTGGGCCCACAGCAAGGCCCATCCATCACTGCCTCCACTCACCCAAGCAGGGGACAGGCGTTATCTCTGATTTCTCCATCTGCTGGACATTGTGATCCAGAATTTCAATGAGCAGAGTGAATACTGCTCCCACGGTCTTCCATCATCACTGACCCAATGGCCTTGCCCTCTGGCTCGGCCATCAAGGCCCCCGCCCATGCCAGCCGAGAGCCACTCCTAGCTCACCCCTTGTTTTCAGAAGCAATTGTGTGGGTGTTTCCTGACCTAACAAGGGGGCTGAGTGGCCAGAGCACTCTCTCCACCTGCCCTCAGGGGTTCAACCCTCAGTTCAGCTCCGAGTCCTGCTCAGGACATCTGATCCTGCAGACAGCTTTCCAGTCACCTGTTCTGCAGTGGGGTAGGGCTCCCCATGAGAACAGAGCTGTGGACAGAGCCTGGGAAACTGACTCAGCATGGTTGGTGGGCCCAGTTCTGGCCACCCTATTGCACCAGTCCAGACACCATGGCTACAGGCATGGGGTCCCCGGCATGTGCTCGTGGTGCGTGGGGGCAGGGACAGGCTCCCAGAACTGGCCGTGAGGTCCTATGGTAGCCCAGCTGGGCCTGAGCACAGCCAGCCTCATAGTCAGCAGGCTCTGGGCCCACCACAGCCGCCCCGACCCGAGCCCTGCACAGGACTGCCGGGGAAGGGACCAGGAGACCAGGCTGGAACTTTCTCCGAAAGGTTCAGAGGGCTCTGCAAAGGCCAGGTCCTGTCACACGTGGGCCCAATAAGACATCCCGGGCTGCAGGAGCTGAACCAGGTCCTCTACAGGCCGGACAATGCCTGCAGCCCGGCTGGTCCTCTGCCGGGGTGAAGAGGCAGGGCCGGGGCTGGAGGCTGGAGAGAAGGGGCTGAGCAGGGCCTGGTGGGCACCTTCCCTCCCCCAGTCAGGAACCGGAGGTGATGGAGAGCCAGGATAGGAGGTTCCTGAAGGGTCTAGGGCAGCTCCGGCCCCTCATTCCCTGAAAGGGAGACGGGAGGCCCGGAGCTGAGACCCAGCAGGAAGAGCCTCCAGCAAGGGACTGGGGGCCTGAGGAAGCCTGCCGTGGGCTGTGAGCACCCCCGGCCCCACCAGCCTAGAGGGCAGGACCTCAGCCCACGAGGAGAGGGCAGGCTGGACCCTCACCCATCAACCTCCCAGAGGGAGCTCTGGAGTCCCAGGCGTGGGGGAGGGGAGAGGCCAGGAGGCCAAAACCTACCCTTGGACCTGATGCCGCCAGAGCCCGGCAGTTCACCTCCTCACAGCGTCGGAACACACACCGCTCCTCCTTCACCCTCTCCCTGCCTTGGCTGGACCTCTTCCAGCCTCCTCTGAAGGGGGCTCCAGGCCACACATCCCATCTGCCCTCAGGGCACCACTCCAGGTTCTTAAGTCATCGACCCAGACCTGGACACTGTCCCCATGCTGGCGAGGCCCCAGTGGCCCCATATCACTGTGGGGTCTCCCACGTACCTCACATCAGCCTGCCTGAGGCTGACATCACCATATGCGCCCCTCGTTGGTCCTGTGCCCTGACACCGGCATGTCCCGATCTCTCCCAGGCCCAGGGCCAGGACCTAGAACCCCACCCTTTGTCCTGAATCCTGGGAGAGAGAGCTGCCTCAGAAACACTACCGCTCTCCCTTGCCTCTGCTGTCCTCCCCCAGGGGGGCCCCCAGGACCCGCTTACTTTCCCCTGGGCACCCCAACCCTCTCTCAGCACCCAGGCTCCCTCCCTTGAGGCCCCCAGCCCAGACTGACCCCATCCTCCTTGCTATACCAATGGAACCTTCTAGAGTGAAACTCTCAACAAGCCCCCCCCCCCCATCCTTCAGCCTCTTTGCTGGGCACACAGGCCATTTTTAAACCCAGCTACATAAAACCAGCTGCCATTCCCCGCCAGGCACATGGCCCAGCCTCTGGAGCTCAGCCCCAGCTGTTCCTCTGCCTGGAATTACACAGGCACACACACGCACACACACACACACACACACACACACAAGACTTCTCAACATGCTGCTCACTCAGCCCTCCCCCAGCAGGCCTTTAGGGTGTCATCACTCACTCTCGGGCCCCAGTTGTGTCTGTGCACCTCTGACTCCCCGCAGCAGTGGCCTGTGCGTGAGTGCACCTGCCATGGCCACACCTGGCCCTCGGAGCCTGTGCCATCTCCACCTCCCCAAGGGCTTACACCTGGTGCACCTGTGGGTTCCAGCACCCAGCCCCAGGTCTGACAGGTGGTGAGTGCAGACTCCTCTCTTCCTCCCCCAGGGTGGGGAGAGAGCAGCCTGTGCAGCTCTGGGGGGACCCTCTCCCTTAGACCGTTTTGCCCCTCCCCCTGCACCTACCCTTTGGCGAGGGCATCAGGAGCCAAGACCCCTCCCTGAGGACCAGGAGCCCGGAGGGCAGGGCAGGGACCTGGCTCCCGCGAGCACACAGTGCCCAGGGCTCGCCCCCAACAAGCCAGTTCCCATGGAGGACAGTGAACAGGTGGAATCAACAAGCAGCTGCTGCAGGCCAGCTGGGAAGCTGGAGGTGTCCACAGGCCCACCAAGCATGGTGCACTGCCCCCACCCACCCACTGTCACTGCGGGCCTTTCACCAGCTGAGGACATGACTAGAACGCAGAGGACCCAAGACGGCCTGGAGGCACAGCCCTGACTCTGCTCTTATTCCTGAAAGAGAAAGAACGCAGGTTGGGTGGTGGCCAGCTCAGCCCCCTGCCCACTCCACCTTGCCCACCCAGCAGCCCTTGGGCATGTTTCTAAGCTGGGAACCACAGTGCTAACTGGGACCACAGTGGGAACCCTTTACAAAAACCCCAGACCAGAGGGTCCCAGGGCAGCTTGGTGCTCGCCTTCCAGTGCCCACCGTCAGATGCACAGCGGGATCAGGAAGGAGCCCGACAATGCTGGAAGAGAAGCGGTGCTTGTCCCTTCTCGGGAGGTGAGGGGACTCTCCAGGTGGACACAAGGTGGAGAGACATGGAATGAGTCAAGAGGCCCTGCGGGAGGGGTGGCGGGTCAGCAGCCTGGGCATGGGGGCAGAAAGGGGCATCAGAAGGTTGAGCAGGGAAATGAAACTGCATGGGACCGAGCAAGCCAGCTGTCAGAAAGGACGTCCTGGCCCAGACCTGGGCACCAAGGGCAGGAGGGAGCCTGCGGAGGCACGGGGTAGGCCGTCTCTTCAAGCAGAGAACAGACTTTCCTGCCCTGGGGGACTCCTGGGGGCTCCCTGGGGCCCCTGGCTGCAGGGTTTTCTGTGGCCCCAGCATGGGGCCGGCTCACTGTGCTTATGCTTACTTGCAGCACTGGGGCCACGGCACCCTGGTCACCGTCTCCTCAGGCGAGTCTGGCGTCTGGCGTCCCACCCGGGACAGCGGGACTCTGTGCCTAGCCAGGCCTGCTGTTTCACGTTTCATCTGACTTGGGAGGGGGTCTGGGGCCGGCTAGAGGGGGGCGTTTTTGTATGGGAGAGCCAGCAGGGCAGAGGCTGTGGTCCTGGCACCTCGAGCACTGGGACCACGGCATCCTGGTCACCGTCTCCTCAGGCGAGTCCACACCAGCTGCTCTGGTGGGCATCTGGCCAGGTCCCGGGGCCTACGGCTGGTCTGGGTGGGCCGAGTCTCTTAGCCTGGGGTCAGACTGGGGCCCCGCTGGGTTCTGGCTCCATTAGGGACTGGTCCTCGGGCTGACAGCCCCAGGGTGGGGAGCAAGCTGAGAGCTGGGAAGGAGAAGTTGTGGGCAGAGTGGTGCCGGCTGGGCCGGAGGTTTGTGTGCGAGGGGCCAGGCAGGCCACACCAGTGTGGTTATGGCTACGTGGATCACTGGGGCCAGGGCACCCTGGTCACCGTCTCCTCAGGTAAGACGGCTTTCTCCCTGCCCACTGTCCTGGGGGCTGGGAAAGAAATTTCCAGAGGCTCCTTGGTCTGCGTGGGGCCCTTGGTCTGATCAGAGGCTGTTTTCTTCTGGGTTCTACACGCAGCCTTTCTGCAGAGACAGGGGTCTTTGCCTCTGGAAGGCAGGCTGGGCAGAGTGGGCTCCAGGTCTGGGGACACAGGCACCTAAGGAGATGCCACTTCTGTCACACCGGGCGGCCGGGCAGGGGCTGAGGTTTTTGTACACCCCCTAATGGGGCCCATGGCAGTGTGACTATTTTGGCTACTGGGGCCAGGGCACCCTGGTCACCGTCTCCTCAGGTGAGTCCCACAGCCCTTCTCCCCTCTCTCTCTCTCTCTGGGGGTTTTTGCTGCATTTTGGGGGAAAATGAGGATGTCTGGGTCTAGAGGCTTCTCTGGGGGTCTCGGCCACCTTGGCCTCTGGGTCCAGTGGTCCTCTCGGCCCTGAAGGGGCACAATTTGAGGTGGTCCCGAGACCTTAGCCGGGTGCCAGTTCTTGCCTGGGACCAGGCACAATTGTCACAATGTGACAACGAGTTGGATTACTGGGGCCAGGGCACCCTGGTCACCGTCTCCTCAGGTGAGCCCCACCCCTCCCGACTCCGACCACTCTTGGGGAGATCGGGTCTCAGGGTCTCGATGTCGGAGGTCAGGAAAGGGAACAGGGGAGAAGGTCCCCTACAGAGGGGCTGGAGATTGACTTTCCCCGGGCCCAAGGACGCCTCCGTATGGGGGGCGAGGCGGCCTCTCTGGCCATTTGACGCGAGCCTTATCGGGGGCGACTGTCGCTTGTGTCAATCAGGCTTCGGCGGCTCTGAGGCCCTCGTTCTGTGGGCCGGTGGCCGTCAGGGTGATTGGACTGCTGAGTTCCGCTTAGGGGCTGTGGGTTCACGGTCAGAAGGCCCAGGCCAGCATGTGAGGTCTCCGGGGCAGGTGGGAGGGAGCGGCCGGAGGACGGTTTCAGGCCCCTCCCGGGAACAGTGTCTCAGATAGTCAGCTTTGTGTGGCCATGGAGACAGGAGAGGTCTCTGGGTGGCCTCGGGACGATGCCAGGCCAGGCCCCAGGGTTTTTGTAGGGCGAGGATGGGAGACGCCACCATTGTGATTATTATGGTATAAACTACTGGGGCCAGGGCATCCTGGTCACCGTCTCCTCAGGTGAGTCCCACAGCCCTTCTCCCCTCTCTCTCTCTCTGGGGGTTTTTGCTGCATTTTGGGGGAAAATGAGGATGTCTGGGTCTGGGTCTAGAGGCTTCTCTGGGGGTCTCGGCCACCTTGGCCTCTGGGTCCGGTGGTCCTCTCGGCCCTCACGGGGCAGATAGTCAGGCCGGCATGTGGGGTCTCCAGGAAAGATGGGAAGGAGCGGCCGGAGGACGGCTTCAGGCCCCTCCGGGGAACACTGACTCAGATAGTCAGCTTCTGTGTGGCCATGGAGACAGGAGAGGTCTCCGGGTGGCCTTGGGACGATGCCGGGCCAGGCCCCAGGGTTTTTGTGGGGTGAGGATGGGAGACGCCACCATTGTGATTATTATAATGCTATGGACCCCTGGGGCCAGGGCACCCTGGTCACCGTCTCCTCAGGTGAGCCCCACAGCCCTTCTCCCCTCTCTCTCTCTCTGAGGTTTTTTGCTGCATTTTTGGGGAAAATGAGGATGTCTGGGTCTGGGTCTAGAGGCTTCTCTGGGGATCTCGGCCACCTTGGCCTCTGTGTCCAGTGGTCCTCTCGGCCCTGAAGGGGCACAATTTGAGGTGGTCCCGAGACCTTAGCCGGGTGCCAGTCTTTGCCTGGGACCAGGCACAATTGTCACAATGTGACAATGAGTTGGATTACTGGCACCCAGCTAAGGCCAACAGTGTCTCAGATAGTCGGCTTCAGTGCGGCACATGGAGACAGGAGAGGTCTCCGGGTGGCCTCGGGACAATGCTGGGCCAGGACCAGGGTTTTTGTGGAGTGAGGATGGGACAGGCCACCATTGTGATTATTATGATATAGACTACTGGGGCCAGGGCACCCTGGTCACCGTCTCCTCAGGTAAGAACGGCCATTCCATGGCCTTTGTTTTCTGCTCCTGTCTGTGGGGTTTCTGGGCATCAGTGGCTGGTCCTCGGGACGTGTCCCCCAGGGGCCTGGGCAGACTGGCTAAAGGGGGACAGGGCTGGGTGCCTTAGGGGTCTCAGAGACTCTCCATTTTCTGATGCCTTTTGAAAATTGGTCTAATGTCAACATGCCGGACATGCTGCGGGCCATGGGTGTGAAGGGCCAGGCTCAGGTGAGACGCCAGGCAGGACCCCGGGGCCACATGACAGTGTGGGCTGTGGTGGGAGACGCTTGGCTGTCAGAACCGCGGCGTCGGTGAAGGAGCGGGCCTCGGTAACTGCCTGCAGAGCCGCAGAACACCGCACGGAGAGGGCAGGGAAATATTTTCTTTAGAATTATGAGTTATGTTCTGTGCTGGATTGTATTTAAAATTCTTTGTTGGTTAGGAAGAGAACTTTCTGGGTGCGGAGGGACTTGGAGTCCTGGTCTTGGTGAGAGTGGGGTCCCGGGCCCCCTGAAACAGCGGGCGCCGGGGGGCTCCGGGAGGACAGCTTCTGAGAGAAGATGCTTCATTCCTCTTACAAGGCGCGCTTACTAAATATTGAAAGACAGGATATCTTGGAAGTGGCTGCTGAGTGACTTTAAAATGAGAGAGATTTTCAAGTATATTTAATTTTTTTAATCTTATCATTCAGTTAACAACTATAGTCACGTCTTTCTGGAGTTGACCGTGGTGCGTGTTGAGTGGAGAAACAGTAAGGGGTGCAGGCAGCTCCCCGCTTCGGGGCTGAGTTTCGACAATAATAAATTAAGCTTGTTTTTTGAATTAGTCGAGCGGTGCTTGGAGCGGATGGTGCTGAGCTGGTGAATGTGGCTGCATGCGGGCCTCGGACGCCTGCAGCAGGTGGCAGGAAGCAGGTCGCATCGAGAGTCTATTTTAGGAAGCAAGAAAACAAGATTGGCAAATTTATAGTTCACTGTTATGCAGGAGTGGTTTTCGGATAGTTTTGCCCCAGAGATCTGAAAGCGTTCCACCGAGCAAAACAGCACCTGGCTGATTTGCATTTCTAAAATAAGGTGAAGACCCCTGAGAGAAACTAGAAGCTTCCTTTTTTAACTGTTTGAGTTTAATTTCTCAGTCTTAGCTTACCGAGTTTTAATTTGTTCAAACTTAGCTTATCAACTTTTCATTCATATTCATTTTCAAAGCAAGGTGTTTAAGAAATTAAACAGCTTTAGGGGCAGTTTGTCAAGGCATTCCTGTAACTTTTTTTTAATTGTTAGTCCTTCAAATGGTACTTAACTGAAACCATTTCCAACGCCCCAAAGCATTGCTTTTAGGATGGCTGTGTTCACAAATTTAGAGTTAGCTGATTTTCTCTTCATGATTAAGAGACACTTTGACATTCTGATAGAGTTGCCTTGTTTCAGTATTTTTCAAGACTACTTTTCAAGTATTCACCTTAGGACAAATTTCAGGTGAAATGTGTATAATTGTCTTGAGTTGTTTCAGTTAAATTATTAACTGAAATTATGAACTTGAATTATTTCAGTTAAATTCTTAACTGAACAATTAAATTGCTTCCGTTATGTTAGCTGGTGGATTAAGTGGAAACCTAGTCAGGCGTCGAACCGGGGGAACTCAGGGGCCCTTCAGAAGGACGGCTTCTGCTCTGAGGCATCGGCCCAACTTAGTTGAAGGAGCTCGGTGGAGGGTCTGAGAGGGCGCCCGCCAGGCCCGCCGTGGCTGGGGGTCCCTGGGACCACCTGGAGCCAGGAATGCGTGGTCGTGGCTTCTGCCGCCAGGCCAGCCGGCTAGTCACGAATCAGCCGTTTGGGATGGATTTGGAGGAATTCTTCCATGCCAAAGACCCCACGGGAGTCTCCAGTGACCAGGCACCGAGACGGTAAGAGAGAGGTAGCCACGGCTGCCAAATTCGCTGACCTAGAAAGTCTCTATTTGATGTTTTTGCTTCTACTTGAAGGGGACTCGCCCTTTAACAATGGCTCAGTGAAGACAGAGGTTGCTTTGTGTGAATGCCTTGAGTGGCCATTGTCTGGGTCACTCACACTTAACTTTCCCTAAAGAACACTTCAGAGAAGCGCGAGGAGCCGCCACCTTATTTATTAACTTTTGACAATCGGGCTCCCAATGCCTTCACATAGACAAGCACCGCTTACGTGGTCTTTGTTGAAGCTCTAAAGGCAACTCTGGGTTTTAGAAGATTATTGTGCATGAGAAAGTAGCGCACAGCTTCTAAAGAGCTTTATGGTGAAGAGCAGAATTCTAAGTGGCAAATTCAGACAAAATGCATTTCCTGGTCATTTTTCATGATTCTTATCTAGAGGGAATGTAGTTAAAGTCAGGGGCTTACTTTAGATTCAGAAGGGAGGAATTCGGGCGAAGGGCATGTGCCCAGGCGGGTGAAGGCACAGAGAGGGGAAAGCCCCAATGCTCTTCTCGGTGCAGAAGCAAGGCTGCCGACTCCAGAGCAAAGGAGGACTTTTTCGTTCTGATGATGGCAAATGCTCCTCAGTCCTCACAACATGTTTTAATGAGTTTAGGGTTGCCAGGAAGAATTTTACCCAGGTAGCTGAAGGGTGGTAGTGATCGATACATCTCTGGGAGCCAAAAGCAGGCTGAGACTGGGGTCGAGGAGCGAGGATTTGGGGTGCCCAGAGGAGACAGACGAAAAGGGATGCCCAAGGGTGGAGAAAAGCAAGGAGAGCAGCGGGAAGCAACTGAATCGAGGCTGAGCCCAGGAGTGCAGGATGCCTGATAAGACGCAGGACCAGCGGGCTTTCAGGACTGTACAGGGCTGCACCAGGCTGCCCAGAGCAGGACTGAGCTGAGCTGAACTCAGCGGGATTGAACTGGGCTTTCTGAGCCCAGCTGGGCTGAGCTGAGCTGCCTGAGCTGGGCTGAGCCAGGGTGAGCCGGGCTGAGCCGAGCTGAGCCGGGCTGAGCTGGTCTGAGCTGAGCTGGGCTGAGCTGGCTGAGCCCGGCTGAGCCGGGCTGAGCTGGGTTGAACAGGCTGAGCTGAGCCAGGCTGAACCAGGGTGAGCAGGGGCCAGCGGGAGGGCTGGAGGGGCAGGGAGCTGCCCAGGAGCTCTGGGGGGAGCAGGCTGAGAAGCTGTAGTTGAGCAGGGGCCAGTGGGAGGGCTACAGGGGCAGGGGCTGCCCAGGAGCTCAGGCAGGGTAGTCAGAGCAGCTACAGGTGAGCAGGGGCAAGTGGGAGGGCTGGAGGGGCAGAGGACTGCTCAGGAGCTCCAGGGGAGCAGGCAGAACAGCTACTGGTGAGCAGGGGTCAGCGGGAGCGCTGGAGGGGCAGGGGGCTGCCCAGGAGCTCCGGGGGAGCAGGCAGAGCAGCTATAGGTGAGCAGGGGCAGGTGGGAGGGCTGGAGGGGCAGGGCAATGCCCAGGAGCTCTGGGGGGGTAGTCAGAGCAGCTACAGTGGAGCAGGTGCCAGTGGGAGGGCTGGAGGGGCAGGGGGCTGCCCAGGAGCTCCGGGGGAGCAGGCAGAGCAGCTACAGGTGAGCAGGGGCCGGTGGGAGGGCTGCAGGGGCAGGGGGATACCCAGGAGCTCGGAGTGAGGATGGGACAGGCCACCATTGTGATTATTATGATATAGACTACTGGGGCCAGGGCACCCTGGTCACCGTCTCCTCAGGTAAGAACGGCCATTCCATGGCCTTTGTTTTCTGCTCCTGTCTGTGGGGTTTCTGGGCATCAGTGGCTGGTCCTCGGGACGTGTCCCCCAGGGGCCTGGGCAGACTGGCTAAAGGGGGACAGGGCTGGGTGCCTTAGGGGTCTCAGAGACTCTCCATTTTCTGATGCCTTTTGAAAATTGGTCTAATGTCAACATGCCGGACATGCTGCGGGCCATGGGTGTGAAGGGCCAGGCTCAGGTGAGACGCCAGGCAGGACCCCGGGGCCACATGACAGTGTGGGCTGTGGTGGGAGACGCTTGGCTGTCAGAACCGCGGCGTCGGTGAAGGAGCGGGCCTCGGTAACTGCCTGCAGAGCCGCAGAACACCGCACGGAGAGGGCAGGGAAATATTTTCTTTAGAATTATGAGTTATGTTCTGTGCTGGATTGTATTTAAAATTCTTTGTTGGTTAGGAAGAGAACTTTCTGGGTGCGGAGGGACTTGGAGTCCTGGTCTTGGTGAGAGTGGGGTCCCGGGCCCCCTGAAACAGCGGGCGCCGGGGGTCTCCGGGAGGACAGCTTCTGAGAGAAGATGCTTCATTCCTCTTACAAGGCGCGCTTACTAAATATTGAAAGACAGGATATCTTGGAAGTGGCTGCTGAGTGACTTTAAAATGAGAGAGATTTTCAAGTATATTTAATTTTTTTAATCTTATCATTCAATTAACAACTATAGTCACGTCTTTCTGGAGTTGACCGTGGTGCGTGTTGAGTGGAGAAACAGTAAGGGGTGCAGGCAGCTCCCCGCTTCGGGGCTGAGTTTCGACAATAATAAATTAAGCTTGTTTTTTGAATTAGTCGAGCGGTGCTTGGAGCGGATGGTGCTGAGCTGGTGAATGTGGCTGCATGCGGGCCTCGGACGCCTGCAGCAGGTGGCAGGAAGCAGGTCGCATCGAGAGTCTATTTTAGGAAGCAAGAAAACAAGATTGGCAAATTTATAGTTCACGGTTATGCAGGAGTGGTTTTCGGATAGTTTTGCCCCAGAGATCTGAAAGCGTTCCACCGAGCAAAACAGCACCTGGCTGATTTGCATTTCTAAAATAAGGTGAAGACCCCTGAGAGAAACTAGAAGCTTCCTTTTTTAACTGTTTGAGTTTAATTTCTCAGTCTTAGCTTACCGAGTTTTAATTTGTTCAAACTTAGCTTATCAACTTTTCATTCATATTCATTTTCAAAGCAAGGTGTTTAAGAAATTAAACAGCTTTAGGGGCAGTTTGTCAAGGCATTCCTGTAACTTTTTTTTAATTGTTAGTCCTTCAAATGGTACTTAACTGAAACCATTTCCAACGCCCCAAAGCATTGCTTTTAGGATGGCTGTGTTCACAAATTTAGAGTTAGCTGATTTTCTCTTCATGATTAAGAGACACTTTGACATTCTGATAGAGTTGCCTTGTTTCAGTATTTTTCAAGACTACTTTTCAAGTATTCACCTTAGGACAAATTTCAGGTGAAATGTGTATAATTGTCTTGAGTTGTTTCAGTTAAATTATTAACTGAAATTATGAACTTGAATTATTTCAGTTAAATTCTTAACTGAACAATTAAATTGCTTCCGTTATGTTAGCTGGTGGATTAAGTGGAAACCTAGTCAGGCGTCGAACCGGGGGAACTCAGGGGCCCTTCAGAAGGACGGCTTCTGCTCTGAGGCATCGGCCCAACTTAGTTGAAGGAGCTCGGTGGAGGGTCTGAGAGGGCGCCCGCCAGGCCCGCCGTGGCTGGGGTCCCTGGGACCACCTGGAGCCAGGAATGCGTGGTCGTGGCTTCTGCCGCCAGGCCAGCCGGCTAGTCACGAATCAGCCGTTTGGGATGGATTTGGAGGAATTCTTCCATGCCAAAGACCCCACGGGAGTCTCCAGTGACCAGGCACCGAGACGGTAAGAGAGAGGTAGCCACGGCTGCCAAATTCGCTGACCTAGAAAGTCTCTATTTGATGTTTTTGCTTCTACTTGAAGGGGACTCGCCCTTTAACAATGGCTCAGTGAAGACAGAGGTTGCTTTGTGTGAATGCCTTGAGTGGCCATTGTCTGGGTCACTCACACTTAACTTTCCCTAAAGAACATTTCAGAGAAGCGCGAGGAGCCGCCACCTTATTTATTAACTTTTGACAATCGGGCTCCCAATGCCTTCACATAGACAAGCACCGCTTACGTGGTCTTTGTTGAAGCTCTAAAGGCAACTCTGGGTTTTAGATGATTATTGTGCATGAGAAAGTAGCGCACAGCTTCTAAAGAGCTTTATGGTGAAGAGCAGAATTCTAAGTGGCAAATTCAGACAAAATGCATTTCCTGGTCATTTTTCATGATTCTTATCTAGAGGGAATGTAGTTAAAGTCAGGGGCTTACTTTAGATTCAGAAGGGAGGAATTCGGGCGAAGGGCATGTGCCCAGGCGGGTGAAGGCACAGAGAGGGGAAAGCCCCAATGCTCTTCTCGGTGCAGAAGCAAGGCTGCCGACTCCAGAGCAAAGGAGGACTTTTTCGTTCTGATGATGGCAAATGCTCCTCAGTCCTCACAACATGTTTTAATGAGTTTAGGGTTGCCAGGAAGAATTTTACCCAGGTAGCTGAAGGGTGGTAGTGATCGATACATCTCTGGGAGCCAAAAGCAGGCTGAGACTGGGGTCGAGGAGCGAGGATTTGGGGTGCCCAGAGGAGAGAGACGAAAAGGGATGCCCAAGGGTGGAGAAAAGCAAGGAGAGCAGCGGGAAGCAACTGAATCGAGGCTGAGCCCAGGAGTGCAGGATGCCTGATAAGACGCAGGACCAGCGGGCTTTCAGGACTGTACAGGGCTGCACCAGGCTGCCCAGAGCAGGACTGAGCTGAGCTGAACTCAGCGGGATTGAACTGGGCTTTCTGAGCCCAGCTGGGCTGAGCTGAGCTGCCTGAGCTGGGCTGAGCCAGGGTGAGCCGGGCTGAGCCGAGCTGAGCCGGGCTGAGCTGGTCTGAGCTGAGCTGGGCTGAGCTGGCTGAGCCCGGCTGAGCCGGGCTGAGCTGGGTTGAACAGGCTGAGCTGAGCCAGGCTGAACCAGAGTGAGCTGAGCTGGCTGAGCTGGGCTG